ACCAGATCAACCGAAGCATGGCGTTCCGAATTATCTACAAGTCACGAATCCCAAGATTGCTACGGTTTGCAGAAGCGATTGCTATCAGTCGATGGAAACCCCCCTTGTGTCAACAAAAAGAACTTTATGTTCGTTTATCCTTACCCTGGTCTTTTTACCCCGCTCCCTATATTTTCTGCTTCATTGTATTTTAGTCATCTTTGTTGCCATGCGAAATCCCTATATAAGTATTGTATTTTCTGCAGTATGCACCATGTTGAGATGCAGCGAAATCGTCCTGGACATCAATCGTGCAGTGTATTGCAATTTGGTCTTTTCTTTTCAAAGTATTTAAAAACTGCTTCAGTTTTTGCAGCCATTAACCATGCACTATCATGCACCCGTTTTGATTGTTGTCTTTTGGCTTGCCATTCGGATACAAGAGCTGAATGAAGAGTGGAATGTTGAGAGACAAAGAGAAGACAGAGAATTCATACCGATTGGGGTTGCAATATTATTGAATAGTTTTTGTCAGATCAGAATGCTTAAAAAGGTATGTGTGTGAACTTAGATTTTGTTCTGTGTATTGATTATAGGGGTTCACTTTCTTTTCTGCCTCCAATCGGGCCCAGTCCCACTCTATGTTTTACCTCATCAGTAAATTTGTGCACCTGGTGCGCTTGGCAGCGATCAGTGAAGTTCGCTGTACAATGCTGATGCTTGTAAATTAGGTAGCGGTTTATCAACTGTTTATGTCTTTCAAATAGGCCTTAAGAGGTCCTGAGTTCGAATCCCGCCACTGCCTTCCATCTTCCCATTTTCTGTATTTTCCCAAGTAGCCTTATTATATCCGCGGCTTCCCTCCTCAAAAACTATTGTACATTTCTATAATTAAAAAGAATTAAAATTATATATATATAATGGTACTATTATATGTACAATTACAGATTGTGTGGATTAAACATCTCATCACACCATTTATCTAATGACTGTGTGATGAATCCATTGATTTGTAAATTGTACCCGTTCAACACCAAGGACTTTTTCATCACACAGGATGCGTCTTATCTCATCGATCGTGTTTCCGGTTATCTATTCCAATTTTTGTTTTATTCCTTTTTCATTTCAGAGCCCCAAGTTCGTTCAATAGCGAACCACGTGCGACCGGATCGGCAAAGTAAGCACCTCTGTTTTCGGCCCAATTTGACTGTATGATCTTGGCCTATATGGCTTGTTGTTCCGTTTATTTATTAAAAGCTATCGAAAAATTTCTCCCCGTGTGACATGAAACAGCTTGCTAAACGGTTTTACTCCAAGCACTTTCCATACTGACCTCCCACCCACCCACCCACCCCCACCCTGGTTTATTCACCAATCACTTACTTGTTTTCACAATTTTACCACCTACCAATAGGAGGGACATGGCGATTTATCGCACCGTGAAAAATCTGTGACTGATGGATTTCACTAAAAGGTAAAATACACAGAAGAAAAAACCATGAATTGGAATCAGAAGGGAATCCGTTCCACGGGACTGACGTGTAGCACGCGGATCTACTGCCCATTAATTGGTGAGGTGAAAGCTACAGCCCAAACTAAGAATCGGCAGCTAACCATATTGATGACAACGTTGGATAAGCTGATCACACAGACATGGTTCGAAATATTGCTCCGTACGATCGAACCAACCCAAACCGGAACGAAAAAAAACGAGTTCAAGGGAAGCATATCACATCCGCCTAGTAACTGGAACAAGCTGTTAGACCGTTATGGGTCGAAACACTCCGTATCTCACGCTTCTTTTGTTTTCCCCATGAAAGCAATTATGAAAAGTGACTAGGTGGAAAAGTGGAATATTGTCCACAGTTCATTTCTATCGCACAACAAGTTGCACATGGTGTACGTCGGACGAACTCCGCAATATCGTTGGCGGCGGACGCCTAAGATTGCGGTTGGT